TGAAAATAATTTTTGTTCAATAATCAAAATAATTTTGTGCGAAAGTCAAAGTGATTGCTAGAATATTAAAACGTTTTATAGCAATGCTTATCAGTTTTAACATTTTAACAAATTATTTTGATAATTCAACAAAAAATTATATTCAGATTTGTTTTTAGCGAAATTTTTAGATCTTTCAACAAAATCGTTCTTTCCGTCGTTCTTTGTATGAATGTAATAAATTCCATCGTACTGTTGCTTTCCTTTGATTAGAGTAGCCATTTCTTCGAAAATCTTAAATGACACATTTAGCAACACATTATTTAAAAAAAACTTATTTTTATATTCTTATTACTGCTATTTTATTTTCACTATTTACAAAATAATACCTCAATAAATGTTTAAAATGTATTCTTTCTAACGTTCTTTTTATCATTTTGTTTCATTCAATAAAGCCCTTTTAGTTTTGTTGATGTTGTTTAGAATTATTGATGTGTTGAAACATTTCTGCGCGCATTATTTTACGCATCTACTATCTTTAGAAAGAGATCCGATTGAATGGTTTATAAGATTCTCTGATTTTTCTCTGCTAAATTTTTTTTATAAACTTCTGAAAAGTAAAATTCACACCACAACATCGAATTCCATATCAGATCAACAGATAATGTATAAGAACAACGTCGAAAATGACACAAAGAGTTTACAGTAGTAGGAATGCATTACACTTAAAATTGATAGAATATCTTAAAGTATCTCTTAAAATGATAAAATCATCTAATCTTTGATTTAGCACAGTGATGCTCTAAGTTCAACGGCTTAAAACTTCAATCAAACAAATTTTGCTACTGTCCGGAAACTTTTCGGGGGTAGTGTATGTGTGCCGTGACATATCGATTATTTTACATTAATCCGTCCCCGAAGTGTCTAATTGTTACGTCTTTTTCAACAACAGCTTTGATTTGCCGCTATTTGCATCATGCGCTTTGACAAAATCTGTTATTTAACGTTACCCATCTGGCAAACGTATTTCTGTAAACGCAAACATTGCCACGTTACGTCAAATTAATTGCATTTTTATCTAACCGATTTGTTAATTATAGTTTTTCTTACGCGTCTCACTTTTGTATTGATTTTTCAGCCAAGTTTACTGCGATGGACCGCTGTTGCATACGGTGCAGCTTGCTGGAATTTTTAACGACAGTAAAACCTTCGTGGACCTTTACCAGCTACACGATCCAAATGTAACGGTCGAAAAGTAAGTTGTTATTGTACAAAAGCGAATATAGATCGAGATATGTAACAAACTTAATCTCTCTCTCTCTCTCTCTCTCTCTCTCTCTCTCTCTCTTTCAAAGTAATAAAATAAGGAATGATTATTGCTACCTTTTCGTTTTTCTCAGTCTTTGTCAGTGGCACTCAATCTATTTCCTTTGCGGATTTTATTTTACGAGTCTGTACGAAGTAAGTCCTGAGCTATTGAAATATCTTGAGCTATTTGAAATCTCTTGAAGCAAGTTAAAGTGGTAGAAATAAGATAAGTAATCTCCTGAAGTGCCAATTATCCGTATAATAGAATATATATATATATATACAATTTTTATAAAACTCGTACATTTAGGTGAAAAAGGTATTAAACAAATTAATAAAATAGTAAAAAAGGCTAATGGGAGCTATAGCGCGGTAAGTAAAGCGCAAAACAATTTAGTAGTGTTAAAAATTGTTTAATTTAATATTTATTGATGTTTTTCTATTTGATAATTTTGGAAGTTTGCTAATTTCAAATTAATAAAACATATAAATACACATTTCTTTATAATGCATATACTATACATGTTATAAACAAACAAATGTTATTTTACGAATTTCTGAATAATCTTATAAAAGCTATGTACATCGAGCATTTTGTCCTACTATTCTCCTACCGTTTAAACGACGTTATTACTTCTAATAAAACAAAAAAGTAAATTTCGTGACAGCAGAGCATTACATTTTATTATGTTATCTCGACAATAAGAAAAGATTTTACGGTATAATTGGTATAAAAATAAATTTTTTATTTTTTATTCTCTTCCTCTGCTTAATTTAGTCCTGTAATTTCAAGAATAGTTGGAATGACATCGAAAGAAACGCACCTTTTCCTATAATTTTACAAAAAAATAAAATTTTACAAAAAATATTAATAAATATTATCTAAAAATGCGAACAAGGCAAAGGCTTCTAGATAATTGAAGAGAAAAATATCGAGAATTAAATGGAACATCTCAATGTGGCATTACGTGTAATAAATATTTTTTTAATTTTAATAAATGAGAACTATTACTCTCTCATTATACTTTTTGTATAAAAACTCTCTTTTTCTCTCTCTCTCTCTCTCTCTCTCTCTCTCACCTAGTTGAAATATAAGGTTTTCTTCTATTATAACTCTGAAATTATTCGTTATTTATAGCATTCATTATATGTATTCGTTATATATATAGCAAAATAATTTAAATAATAGAATCTTGTTTGGAAATGTTAAAAAATACTTACATAGTTTTGACGTATCCGATCCGTAATTTTACGCGCACTTGATGTTCGACCTTCAAATATTCGTCAACGCGAAATTACAGATCGAAAAAATTTAGGTAGATGTACAAATAATTTTGTTGAACTATCAAAATAGTGAGAGAATTCAAGCACAATAAACAATGCTACAAAAAGTATTGATATTCTAGCAATTAGCTTGAGCGTCCTACATAATTATTGTGATAATTCAATCTTTCTAATTTAACCTTTGATTAACTTAATTAGCGATTAACTGAAGTAACATCTGCAATATTTTATTAACATATAATATTAATCTTTTCCTATTCATCAAATTAACATCAACAAATTATTAATATCGTTCGAAATTCTGCAATAAGCTATTCTACTGCTTGAATTAATTATCAATTAAATTTGCCAATTATTAATTTGCGCTATTTACACAGAAACGAAATGATCGGAATCTACGCAAAATTCTGTTTACACTGTTTACTTTGTCATGAAATTTGTTTAGCGCTTTGCAAACGCTATTTAAACTTTGCACGGTATGCTATAGATACGTACTTCATTCGTATAGTCGACGAATCGCGCGTGAGCTCGACAGTCAACCAAATTCTTTAATGGACTCCAGTCGCGAGTAAATCTGTCTCCAAAAAGCATGTAAATCGCTTCGTGTATACAGATATTTATGGCCTCCTTTTTACGACACCGTCCGTTTTCGTTTGATTTGACCTACGGGAATTCCTCGTATTCTCTTTCGCGTAAGATTACGTTCTCTGTACTTAATTTTGTTTGCAATAACGAAGTAATGACAACGAGTTGAGTATTATAATTACGTGGAGTTCTGTTCGGATTCACATCTGCTTCCGCAGATGTGTGTTACATAATCCTGTAATTTTATAACATTTCGCGCATTATATACAGTCGCTGTATATTTGCAAAGAAGAAAAGATGCCAAGAAGACGTTCTATAATTTTTATAAAAGCTGAATAAATATTTATTAAAGAAGGGAGTAAATAAAACCATTTACAATCACATACTTTACGTTACTTACAATACGAGAACTAAGCTAATAAAATTATATATAGCACCGAATAGTATCAGAAACATCTGTTAAAGTGAACTATTATCATAAATTTTCCATCACAAGATAACGCGTGTTAAAGAAACATATGACCAATATCGTCTTTGCACAAAATGCGCAAAAATAAATTTAAAATAGAATTAACGATCGTTTTACAAACACATAGATCAATGATAAGTTCCTATTATCTCATTTATCCTTACTTTTAATAACTTCATTTATCATAATCTATTTAAAGTAATTCCTGTCATAATTCAAGATAAAATTCTATTTACAATTTTAAATATTTAAAAGATATTTAAAAGATATATCGCATTTCTAAAATATTTAAAAAGACAAGTATTTATATTATATATTAAACATTTATTTTACATTTATAACATGTTTAAAAAATATTTAAAAAAAATTTTTTTAAATAGCTCAATAATGCCTTTGCAAGCCGACACGGATGTTGGTGATCATTTTTATGTATGTCAGTAAAAATTATTACACACCAACATCCGTGTCGGCTCGTAAAGACATTATTGAGCTATTTATGATTATTCATTATACGATACCTTAATTCCTTCAAGTTAAATTTAAAATGTTTTAAATATTTATATCACATTCTAAAAATATTTTAAAGTATTTTAAAAATATTTATATCACATTTTTTAAACATTTTAAAAATATTTTTAACATATTTCGAAAATGTTATAAAAATATTAAAAAATTATTTATATCATATGTTAAAAATATTTGTAACACAATATTTTTAACAAATATTTGTAACAAAATGTATGCGCAGGAAGATTGAACGATTTTGCTGAAAAATTTAAGTACATACAGATCTAAAAATAATTTTGTTAGACCATGAAAATAATTATGCAAAAAAATACGTATGATAAGCAATGTAGCAAAAAGTTTGACGTTCTAGTAACCAGCTTGAGCGTCCTACAATTATTTTTATAATCCAACTTGAGCGTCCTGTAATTATTTTTATAGTCCAACAGAATTATTTTCAGCTATGCAGCTAGCTAAATTTTTAGATACTTTAGAAAGCTGTTTTTTTTTCCATGTGACATATATGTTTAATAAATAGAATTGTCATACTGAAGTATGACAATACTAACACGAATTATAAATCATCTAAAGTAAGTTTCACATACAAAGGGATTTTATTTAATTACATAAAACTTTCAAAATCGTTCGTGGATGAGAGAAAGAGTACACTAGAGGCACTAAAAGTGAGCTAATCAAGTGAGCTGATTAAAGCTAATTTGATTCTGTTTCTGTGTTAGCTTCAATGCTTTAATGAACGCTACCAATAACTCCCCTAATCGCACCGAGATTGCTGCGTTCGTTGCGGAAAACTTTGCTATGCAGGATGAACTGGAAAATACGACGTTGCCGGACTGGAAAGAAAAACCCCCCATTCTGAAATCTATCAATGATCCCCAGTATCAAGAATGGGCGAAACGTTTGAACTACATTTGGAAGACGCTGGCGAGGAAGATAAATGACAACTTGGTGATAAATCCGCAGCGACACAGCTTGATCTACGTGAACAACACCTTCGTCATTCCCGGTGGACGATTTAAAGGTGATTGTCAGCGCGTGGACATTTGTTTTTCAATTTGTTCAAAGGCATCAAGGCAGTCTCATCTAATTATTTAAAACGTAGAATGTTTTAGTCTGTCAAATGACTGTTTAGCTAATCCAAATATACAGGGTGGACCATTTTAATTCATCCAGTCGAATATCTCGAAAAATAAGCACACTAGGAAAAAAAGGTTCAGACAAAAGTTGTAGGGTTTCGAGGGGGACATAAGATGATAACATTGGTTTGACTCTGAGTGGCGTCGTCAAGGTCAGGACAAGGTCACTTTGAATTTTTTTAATGGAACCCCCAATTTTTCATTACATGTTCTTATAGCACGCCTCGAGAATTTTCCAAAACACATAAATAAAATATTTTTTTCTGAAATAAATCTTGAGTTATGAAGCTTGAAAGTTCGAGTACTGTCGGCATTAGCATCATCCAAGGTGTCCAAACACTAGCTAAAGATGGCCAAGGTCGTTGGCATTTATCAATGTCATGATCCTGAACAACATTCAAAAGGTTTTAGCTAGTGTTTGGCACCTTGGATGATGCTAATGCCGACAGTACTCCAACTTTCAAGCTTCATAACTCAAGATTTATTTCATAAAAAAATATTTTATTTATGTGTTTTGGAAAGTTCTCGAGGCGAGCTATAAGAACGTGTAATGAAAAATTGGGGGTTCCATTTAAAAAATTCAAAGTGACCTTGTCCTGACCTTGACGACGCCACTCAGGGA